TAAACCCCTCCATTGTCAAACTGGTAATGGTGCATTAAGTCCTTCTCATGCTTCAAATGTCTGTGAATTTTTACTCACCCATGAGCTTGAGAAAGCACTCCATAGAAGGGTTGATGTTAGATCAGGCCCACTTGGATACTCTCCCTATTTTGATATCAGCTATTCTATGTTCTCACTCATATGCGGGAGCTAAAGATTAAAAACAATCGATCTCGTGGAGACAAACAGTAGAATGATGGTTACCAGAGTTGGAAGCAACTCAATGTGCATCGGAAGTTCACTGGTTCAAATAAATATTATATATCCACATAATGGAATAGAATGCAGTTGTGAAAAATGAAGACACCCTTTACGTACTGATGTGACTTCCAAGATGTGTTGTTGAGTGTAATAAGCAACAGGTGTATGATGCAATAGTATGCCATCTCTAATGTAAAAGAGTGAGAAAATTAATTCTTTCCACTCCCCGGTCCCTAAATACATGTAGCAATGTCTGGAATAAGTTTGGTTGTCATAATTGGGGGAGTGTGGCATGCCATTGATATCTACTGGGTAAAGGCCAGGGAGGTGGCTAAACATCCTACAGTGTGTAGGACAGCAGCCCACAAAATATAATCATCTGGCCAGAAATACTAATGGTTCTAAGGTTGAGAAACTCTGCTGTAAAACTACATTATTGAAATTTCCAGTCTTTTTGGTTTTAGGGATTCATGAAAAAGTTTGTGTTCATTCTGCTTATTTGTGTAAGTATTGTAAAATTCAGCACAATTCTTTCCTAATCCTTCATATTTCCATACTGGAAAATCCTGATATTTTAGATTGTTTGTCTTCTCCTTGATTCCTGTAGATATTTTTATCTATCTCTGTTAAATAATTCTTGAGATATATTGGCTGTAAGCACCAACATCATTTCAGTTAGTATGGGAGATAGTTCTGTAGGAGGGTAAAATAATGCAGAAGTGACTGTCCTATTATTGTCAATTGAAGCCTGTCCTGCTGAGAGATACTACGTGAAGTAATTGACTTTCAATTCATTGTTTCCCTCAGGAACCTGTAATTACTGAGGAACAAAAGGTATTGCTTGCCACCAGATATTTGCCCCTAGTGAGCATGAGAGGAAAATCTAGAGTCACTATAGTAGTTTGTAGGGGGGAAAGGTTGGCAGGAGCTTTAGATGGCTGAAACATGATTTTTCAAAAGTCATGATGCTTGATCTAACAGGGTGGTATTATCACAACTGTTCACCTTCATTGGAACATGCCCTTCTGAGTTCCTGCTCTGTGTTTGTGTCTGTATTTATTAGATTTAGCTGCTCTAAAGGGATTCAAACTAATAATCAATTAAACAAGATTTGGTTTTAATAATAGTCCCAGCTGGGTTGGTGGCTTTGCTATACGACTAATTTGCATAGCCACATCTAGCAAAAAGGAAGCCTGGAAATGTAGAAAATTTAGTCAATCTGTATAATCATATGCATATCTAAAAATTTTACCAAGAAAGAATAGGAAAATGGATCCTGGAGCACAATTAGCAGTCTATGAAATGATATCTGTTTGTAGTGAAGACACACTTGTTACCAACAATAGAGAAACTTGTATTCTTGGTCTGGGCCAGTTGGAACCTTTCTTCATTCACCATTTCCCTTGCAAAAACCATTGATTCTTTTTCTGTTAGTTCATCTAACTGCCATCCAATTCATGCTATTCTACTCTATCCAGACATTAGTCTTGTCAATTTATTTTTATTTGTATGGCTTTCCATTATCTGGATGAACTTTTAATAATATGTAATCTTAGTAATTTTATTGTATATTACCCATTTTCAAATTATTTTGTAAGCACATTGATTACCACACTTTTAATATTCTTGTACCTAGAGAAAATCTTTTAATCCTCTTTTTTTTTTTTTCAGACAGAGTCTCACTCTGTTGCCCAGGCTAGAGTGCCATGGCGTCAACCTAGCTCACAGCAACCTCAAACTCCTGGTCTCAAGCAATCCTTCTGCCTCAGCCTCCCAAGTAGCTGGGACTACAGACATGTGCCACCATGCCCGGTTAATTTTTTCTATATGTTTTTAGTTGTCCAGCTAATTTCTTTCTATTTTTAGTAGAGATGGAGTCTCGCTCTTGCTCAGGCTGGTCTCGAACTCCTGACCTCAAGGAATCCTCCTGCCTCGGCCTCCCAGAGTGCTAGGATTACAGGCGTGAGCCACCACGCCCGGCCTTAATCCTCTTTTAGTAACTCCCGTTTCTAAGTTAGTACTCTACCGACTATAATAGATACTTTTTTCTGGATTGCATACAGACTCAATTTTCAGGAAATTATTTGAACTGTTGAAGATTTAAAATAGTCAAAATAATATACACCTGTTTTCCTTTAAACAGGTCTAAAAGCAAATATCTAAAAATTTTACTAAAGATTATTTTGCTTACTTCCCCATTGTTATCCCTGCCTTGCTGTTCAGAAACTCTACAGATCATTAGAATTTACATTAGCTGAGTATGAAATAAGGCCTCTGACTTCTAGTTCACACCGTGAATTTTATAGTTAATAGATAGGAGTTACATTTTTCTCTTAAATCAATTGAGAGTAGAATGGGAAGTCTGTACTGAACATTTAGCATGTCTCTCCTTAACCTCAGTCTCCATAACATGATTCACTACTATAAGGAGTAAAATTTAACCTTATTTTATAATATATGAATTATTCCAGTCAGAACACCTTCTTTGACTTTTACATGCAAGTTCTTGCCAACTATGCTGCTTTGGGAATCTGAACAAAGATGAACGCACATATTTAATCCATGATATATAATTGGTGTTATTCTCTATGAAGTCTCCAGAAGATTTACAAAATTATATACATATGTATATACATATATATGTTATTATTTATGTTTGAATTACTATTATGTAAAATAACTTGTCATCGTGTATTATTTCTCTAATATTAATTATTTAATAATGCATGGTTGAAAATTTTGGCTAAAAACAGGTAACACTTCAATATAAAGCCTTTATATAGCCACTATTTTACAATAGAAATTGGACAACAGAATTTGGAGGTAAATATGTAATGCAGATGTTAGAATACGTCATCTAAAATTAATATTTTCAGTAGATAAGAGAATAGATAAGAAATCAAGAAGGTTTAACTATAGTAACTAAGGACAATGGATTGCGCTTTAGGCTTGGCGAACTTGGAAAACTATGTGACATGCTTCCTTAATTGATGAGAATACCAACAGAACAGAGAAATAAAATTGTTCTCTATTTGTATCATCATATCTTTAGGTTCTATAAAGAAGTCCAGAATTGGACCTATCTTCTCCTTGAGAGTGGGCAAAGGGAATTTTGAGAATTCCTTGAAGTTTCCAATTTTTTCAGAAATTGATTGGGAATCTTTGCAAAGGCTGTGGTCTTGATTCAGTCAAGTTCTGTGAGTCACTGTTATCCACTGCTATAAAATTGCACTGCTTAGGGGGCTTAGGGATATGGACAGGCTGTGATATGGCAGTCATGATTAGTATAAACAATTCAGCTAGATTCACATCTCCTGCTCGTTAAGGAAAGATATATATTATATATATATATTAATAATTTTGAAAGATGATGTAGATGTTTTTAATCTCTCAATTCCTATGAATTTGCAAATAATAATCACTACCACCACTATGTCCAGTATTTTCAACTCCTGACAACAACACTTCCAAGAAATTTGACTACTTGCCTTTGCATTTTGGGCTACTTACTAATCTCTACATTCTTGTGGAAAGTGAATTAAGAACTCATCATCTCAGTGTTATGAGAATCTTGTGAAATTGTTGTGGGAAAGGTTTTACGAAGGTATTTAGGTCTTGAGGATGAATAACTCTTTAGCTGACAGATGGAGAAGCCATTATCCACAGAGCAAACAATGTGCAGTAGCAAGGAGGAAATGAAAGCACCTGTTATGTTTTGAAACTCTGAGTTCAGAAAAGAGGAAGAAAAAAAGAGGAAGAAGAGGAGAGTAGGGACTGGGCATTATGAATTTGAGCCTGTTGGAAAAGTCCTCATCTAGGAATGAAGATGTTTGATCTCTATCTCTTGAGCAACACTTTCATTTCACAAAAGAAGTTCACACCTAAAGTCATTTAAAAAGTTCCTTTATAATCAATGTGTGGTCCCTGGAACAGCAGCATTGGAATCACTTAGGAGAAGATTATTATCAATACAGATTCTTAGGCTCTGCTCCGATATACTAAAACAGAATCTGCATTTAACAAAAGACTGAGAGGATTGCTTTACATTGTGTGTGTGTGTGTGTGTGTGTGTGTGTGTGTGTGTATTTAACTAGAAACAGGCGTGACAATGTGCATACTGTTCTGTCACTTTTTAAGATTTACTACTGTATAATGGATATCTTTCTGTGTCAATACATGTAGATGTACATTATTATCCATCATGGATAGACTATAAATTATTTTATTTATCCCTACTGATTGATATTTATATTAATCCAGTAGTTCGATATTGTAAAGCCACATCGTGATTGAGAAACTCTGACCTAAAGATCACTGAACAGAAACAAGTCCCTGACTCTGTTCCCCCTGAATTCCTTTGTTTCTGTTACATCTTGCAGCCTTAATCGACCCCGTGGACACATCACTTTGGCTGATTTTTTTTTTTTCACTGATCTTTAAGCTTAGTTTTAGGAGAGGCTCCGGAAAATGCCCACTCCTCCAATGCCATCTTAAAATCTTGCCAGGCCACGGCTGAGAGATGCCCCTGAGGTTTAGGCTGCCACAGCGTGTTTTCCAGTAACTCTGGTGACACCTGCAACCCTCGGGTTCTTTCGCCAGGCACCTGCAGCCTCTATTCGAGTTGCCAACTCTCGCCGCTAGGAGGCGCCAATAAGGGCAGGGCTTGAAACCAGCGCTCGGCGCGTCTGATGGTTGCCTAGCGACGGTCGTCCACGCTAATCTCCGATGCGTTGAGTCCGTCGGCTACCAAGAGGGCAGCCATGGACAGAGAAAGGGGCTCTCTTATCCCCTTGGACATTGAGAGTCCGAAGAAAGACATGCAGCTGCGGGTGATCCCGTCGGAGGTGAAGTTTCTGGACACTCTGGTCGGGAGAGTGTACCGCCTCCCCATTACTGTACACAATCTGGGCCGTAGCACACAGAAGATCCGGTTTCAGGAGCCTATCAAACCACAGGTGACACACTAAGGGGTGCTGGGAGCAGGACCTAGAGAGAGCGCCTCTTCACCTAGGCGTCTTTTTCCCAGGGAGTAGACATAAGGCTCCTGCGGGGATGGGAGAAGGTTTGTGCTTCTGGGGAATAGTGACTTAGGGGTGTGTGTGTATGTATATGTTTGTGCTTTCATTTTTTGTTTTGTTTTGTTTTCCCTTTTGCTAGGGGAAACAAATCTTCCCATTTCTTCTAGAGCCTCCCTATTTCTTCATACATGACTGTCTACTTATAACAACCTCAAATCTATGCAACTTGGTTTTATAATTCTGTAGTTGCCCTAAGCATTGTGAAAACAAAATTCTCTATCAACTACCCTTTGAATCATAAAGTGCCTCATTACTCCAGAAATTGTAGGATTAGTGGAAAGGTTTATTATTTCATATTTTAACACCTTTGTTGAGCACCTACTGTATAACAGGCAGTAGGTGTGAGGAATACACGATGGACACAGGCCTGCTCTCACAGGACTTAGAAACCAATGTGGGAATTTTAGTCTAGCCATCATTAAAATTAATGTTCTGAAAGGCTGTTTCATTAATATCTTCTAATTTAATAGTGGGCAAAATTTCATCTCTATCTTACTGTGTTATTTTTACCTCGTGTGTGTGAAAGGATGGCTATTGATTATAATCACTCATTCGCAGGAAGACTTTTGATAAGGATAATGTGATAGGAATTTTTGATGTTTAAGCAATAAATAACTGAAAAATTTCAGGAGATATTCCTAATGATAAATAACATTGAATGCAACTGGGCTTACATATACAGAAATAAAAAGATGTCCATGTTTTTTAATTAAAATTACATATATTTGCTTGTACATACGTAGAAAAACCTATGTTAGTGATTAGGAGGGCAATTAGAAAAATGACTTTTATTTCCTATTTTCTTTTCAAAAATTGATGTACTATTTACCTATGTTAAAGTGCACAGATCTCAAACGTAATGCTTGATGAATTTATAAATATACATATATATGTGTGTATATATCTATATCTATCTATCTATATCTCCATTAGAAACCACCTGGAACAAATCATAGAATATATTCAGCTCCCTAGAAGATCTCTAGCGCCCATTCCTTACAGTACCTGGAGTAATCACCTCATGGAGGTAACCATTAGTCTGATTTCTAACACCATAGGTTAGTTTTGCTTATTCTTGATGTTCATATAAATGGAATCTTGCTTTAATGATTTTTCTATTTGAATGTTTTTATTAAAAAGTACACCTCAAGAGACTATTAACTTCTCTTTAAATCAAAAAGTATGTGATTACTCCAGATACTGTAAAATTAGAGAAAAGCTTTATTATTTCACTACTTTAGCACACATTTATTCAACAACTGAGCATGTATCTGCAAATGCTTTCTTTTGAAACTCAAGCTGACAGTAATTCCTAGATGTGGACAAACCCTATTTTATGGATGTTCAAGGGACACTTGTATGGATGGTTTCTGTGCAGTAAGAACAAATATTATAATTAGTCTTATTTTGGTTTGTATATAGAGTTATAATGGAAAAAAAATCAGACCACATTTCTTGACATTGATAAGAGAAAATAGCCAGTTATGATTACTAGTTAGAAGCCAATATCAGTGTGAATTTTTCTTTGTTGCAAGACCATGATATACACTCCTGATCCTTTATAGGCATAAAGAGAATTAGGGAATAAATGGATTAGAGAAAAAATATCAACTGTCTTGGGGGAAATAAATAAGTAAAATCAAGATACTATTTAAAGGGCATTGTCATCATCACTGTATTAGTTAACTAGAAAATGAATCTCCTAAAGCACAGTAGTGCTTGTTTTCCAGCATGGCTCGAGGACCTGCATTGACCCTATGTATTGAATACCCACCATGTGCCATATACATTACCATACATCATCTGCTGTGGGTTTCTGGTAAAAAAATAAGATGGCACAGTTCTTATTTTCAAGAAATATAGAGTTCATAGTCCTGTGCCTAATTTTTAATACCATGCTTCAATCTTGCTGACACTGTCCATCTTAAAGTATTTTGCTCACTTGTGTGACCTCTGGTTTGGTCAGGCCTGTCTTACTCATAATTGCCTCCTCTTCCCTACAACACACACTTCCCTTTTTTTTGACCCATGTTTTCATTCCCTCTTGCCCACAATAATCAACCCTTTCCAAATCTCATCCATCTTTTAAGGTCAATGTGAAGTCTCATTTTCTCTAAGAAGTCTTCTTTTATATTATTCCCAAATTATTTCTGCCTTACTGGATACCATTTACATTTATAGACATTCCTTATACTTGGGACTTGTGTCCCTATGACTCTTGGTAAATATTAGTACTCTCTCAAATGTCAGCTCATAAGCTGCTATGAGTAGGGATGATGCCTTGCACACCTTTGCACATCGCTAAGTGTGCCCAGCAACTGGTAGTTTGACCAAAAGCACATGCTTCTGAAGCACTAGTTTCTTTCTTGAAGCTACAGATCTGTTAAAAGAAGATACTTTGGGTACTAGATTTCTCAAAGGCCTATGTGGGAAATCCTCTATCCCTTGTTTTCCTTCTGTTCTGTAAATACAGGGAGGTTGAGAGTTGGAATTTGGTAGTTATGAGTAATGAGGTATCAGAATCATTGTTTGCTGGAAGTATGACACTCTTAGATCAGTATTATCAATAAATCACTCCACTTCTCTATAGCCGTCATTGCTGCAAAGCACTGTTTAGACTCAGCCTGGCATTAGAATCCCTGATTGATTAATTTCGGCATGACATTCATTGGTATTGATTCAGGACTTTGCCCAGCGAGGCTGGCTTATTAATTGCCTTCTGAGAGACTATTTTGCTTATTCCTGTCTCTGCTTGTGTCTGAGATATTCCTATCCCCATAATGAGCATCGTCCTTGGTTTTTCTCCACCTTTGACTTCCATCCTCTAAGCCTAGGTCAAGTACACTCCTTTCTAACCCACAGTAAATCATGTCCGGTCATGGATTTTCAGGATACTTAAGTCTGCATCATTCATATGGCACTTAACTAGTCTCTGGCGTATATTTAATTTTCAAGGAGTATATAGTCTGCTTCCTGAAAGAGATTATATATTCGGTAGAGGGGGACTCTTACCAGTTGAGGGGAAGGAAGAGCTTAAGATTTAGAGTCAGATAGATAAGTGCTTTTGAATCCTTGCTGCCTGAGTGACTTTAGACATTAATTACACTCTATAGGTCCCAGTTTCATCATCTATATGCTGAGAGCCTTGATATCAGCCCCACAGGATGGTACAAGTGTATTATGTAAGATAATGGATGTAAAATACTTGACACATCGTAAGTGCACAACAGATATCAGTTCTCCTTTTTCTCCCTTCATGTATTTCCTGGAGTTTAACAAGTGTTTTACCAGAACAAAAGTATTTTTCTCCTCTTTGGTCTATTCCTCTTTTATATTTTCTCCAAGTTGTGAAGCCTAAGCTCTCATACAAAAAGTATCTAAAATACTATATTCTCTCTGTATACAAAATATACATATGTATATGCATGCATGTATATATTATGTGTGTATTAATATATCAGCGGTCCCCAACCTTTTTGGCACCAGGGACCGGTTTCATGGAAGACAGTTTTTCCATAAATGGGGGATGGAGGGATGGTTTGGGGATAATTCAAGCGTATTACATTTATTGTACAGTCAAACCTCTCTGCTAATGATAATCTGTATTTGCAGCTGGTCCCCAGCACTAGCATCACCGCCTCAGCTCCACCTCAGATCGTCAGGCATTAGATTCTCATAAGGAGCGCACAACCTAGATCCTTCGCATGAGCGGTTTACAGTAGGGTTCGAGCTCCTATGAGAATCTGATGCTACCGCTGATCTGATAGGAGGTGGAGCTTATGTGGTGATGCCAGGGATGAGGAGCGGCTGTAAATACAGATGAAGCTTCCCTCCCTCACCCACCACTCACCTCCTGCTGTGCAGCCCTGTTCCTAACAGGCCATGGACCGGTACCGCTCCAGAGGGTTGGGGATGGCAGATGTATATGATTGAGCAACATTTTTATTAGGTTGCTCTTCATTTTTTGTATTAGATTTTAAGCTGCTTAGAATAGAGGCCACATCAGTTCTGTAAGTATCTCATATTTCTAAAGTTGCCCATGAGCATTTAAATATGTGTTTCTCAACTGCCTGGTCAGATTCAATTTGTGTACTGTAGAAAGCATATCTTAAGTATCTAGAATCTGACAGATATAAACATGGGCATTAATTATTTGTTTTTAGGCACAGAAAGACAAATATCACATGATCTCACTTAGATGTGGAAGCTAAAAATTCAAACTCATAGAAGTAAAGAATAGAATGGTGGTTACCAAAGGCTGGGGAATAGGGTGGGTAGGGAAAGGGAAAATGTTGGTCAAAGGGTACAATTAAATAGGAAGAATAAGTTCTGGTGATCTATTACACAGTAAGGAGAGTATAGTTAATAATAATGTATTATATATTTCAAAATTCCTAAAAGAGTAGATTTTAAATGTCCTCACCACAAAGAAATGATAGGTATGTGAGATGATGGATATGTTAATTTGCCTGATTTGTTCATTCTACAGTGTATATTTGTATTGGTATATCACCTTGTGCCCCATAAATATTAATATATACAATTATTATTTGCCAATTCAAGATAAAATTAAAAAGTCTTTGCCTTTAATGCAGGAATAAGGGCTATGTTTTGATAATAGTATATATTCCTAACTACAGTTGCTCACATTGTTTCCTTATAAGGAGTTAAGATGTATAATTTGATTCTTTTTCTCTCACTGAAGTTCAAACTGATTTTGACCAATCTGGATAAAACACTTGCTTCTGGCCTTCAGATGACGGCTATGGTGGAATATCATCCTGATAAAGATGAAGACACTTCTGACCAACTGCTTATTTCAGTAGGAAATAAGACAATAGGAATCCCTTTAATTGGGTATGTAATTTTCATATTTCATGCTGACCATTTTGAACACTCATCAAATAAAAATAACAAAGTAAATTCTGTATTTTCTCTGCTTTGTAGTTATAGTTTCCTTACAGCTGAAGTTAGAGGGCAAACTTTTAGAAAATTGTAGAGTTTATAACAAATGGAGGCCTCATTCTCTAGTATTTTTTATTAAAATAACTTAAAACATTCAACAATTGAATATATTGTTAATTGGATATTTGCAAACTTGCATTAACATTTTAATTTAGTTTTAAAGTATTTTCATGTTCACGTCATTAAATTTTAAATAAGGCAGATGTTTGGTTTAAAAAAATCAAAATGCTGCTTTTTTGAGATTGGTTGAGAAAGGTGGGTGGATACAATAACCCAGAACTAAATGGCTGACTCAGAGATTAATGTCTATACAAATTATTTATTTGACCAGCATGAATGATGATTCATTTGTTGTTTTCTTTTTATAATAAAAACATATATTTCTGTTTATTGTAAAATTACCTACTCAAGTTAGTGTTAAAATATGAAGTGTTTTTATTCATATACATACACATGATCTTCCTTTTTCCCAGCAAAATGTGGTTCCATAGGTGTTATTTTTTTTCTCTGTTTGTTCAGAGTTACTATTGTAATATTTTCTGCCTATTACTTAGTATTAGACATAAACCTTTTTATAATTTCCCTTATGTTTTTATCATTTACATAAACTAAATTTAGATATGCAATTATTTTGGTTCTCTTTTGTTGAGAAGTTCTGATTTAGCATACCATCCCATTTTTAATGGGAATCAAACAGTTGACATATGGTAGGAAAGAAACAAGCTATTAACACATTATAAATATCTAATTTTCATTTTGCAGTTTAAGTAGGGCCATTTTTGGTGCGCATCCTGCATTTTGACCAACCTGTGACTGGCACTCATATTTGCTTGTTTGTGCTACCCGTGGAGAGAAGGGCTGAAGATGCTTCTGCCCTAGAAAACAGAGACTTTGTCTCATTTCCTCTCTCATCAGAAGCCCATTTTTCACCACAGTTGCAACAGAAAGAAGAGCATTAGCCCTCTTGAAGTGTGATGGACAGGGCTGAAGGAAAATGTTGGGGGGTGGTGCGTGGGGGAAGACAGAGTGGGAGGGAGAGAGAGAGGAAGGGAGAAAGTTTGCTGCTATGTCTTTTTTTTTTTTAAATCAGATGATTGAAGATTCACATGCAGCTGTAAGAAATAAAACAGAAGAAATCCCTTATGCCTTTTTTCCTGTTTCCCCCAAGGGTAACATTTTGCAAAAGTGTAGGATAATACCACAACTAGGAAATCGATATTGATACAATCCACCTATCTTATTACAATTGCCACAGCTTTACTGGAACTGTGTGTGTGCATGTGTGTGTGTGCGTGTGTGTGTGTCTGTCTGTCTGTCTATGTGAATGTGTCTGTGTCTGTGTTGTTTATTTTTATACATTTTTATCATCTATGTAGGTTCTTGTATCTACTACCACAGTCAAGATACTGAACAGTTCCAATTGCACAAGGATCCCTCCTGTTGCTTTGTTATAACTACACCTACACTCACTCCCTTCTGCCTCATACTCATGATCCCTAAACTGTGAAAGCTGCTAATCTGTCTTTTATTTTTAAAATTTTGTCAGAAATGTTATATAAATTGAATCATATGGTATATAACTTTCTAGTATTTTCTCTCAGCAAAATTCCCTGGAGATTCAACCAAGTCCTTGCATGTATCAGCATTTTGTTCTTTTTTATTGCTGAGTATTATTTCATGTTATGTGTACCACAGATTGGTTTGACCATTGACCTGTTGAAGAACAAAGGGGATGATTCCAGTTTTTCATTATTGCAGATAAGCTATTTTAATATTCTTATACAATTTTAATGTGAACATGGTTTTCATTTCTCTGGGATAAATGCCCATGTGTGTAATTTCTGGGTCATATGCTAATTGTGTGTTTAGTTTAATAGAAAATCCCAAATTGCCTTTGAGAATGGCTATACCATTTTACATTCCAATGTGCAATGCATGAGTAATCTGCTTTTGCATCTTTGCCAGTATTTGTTGCTGTCACTGTTTTTAAATTTTAGCCATTTTAACAGATATGTAATGGAATCTTTTTGTAGTTTTAATTTGCATTTCCATGATGGCTAATGATATGTTGAACATATTTGCATGTGCTTCTTTGCCATCTGAGTATCCTCTCTAGTGAAATGCCTGTTAATGTGTTTTGCCTGTTTTCTAATTGCATTGTTTTTTATTATTGAGCTTTGTAATTTCTTTGTATACTTTGGATGCAAATCTTTTCATGGATATGTGGTTTGAAAATATTTTCTCCCAGTCTGTGGCTTGACTTTTCATGCTTTTAACAGGGTATTTTGTAGAGCAAAATATATTTTTTTCATTTCAATGATGTCCAATTTATCAAGTGTCCTTTAATCATGCTTTTAGTGTCATATCTAAGAACTCTTTGCCTGACCCTTGATCCTGAAGATTTCTCTAATTTTTTTTTAAATTTTAAGTTTTACATTTAAATGTGTGATACATTTTGAGTAGTTAATCTTTGTATGAATGTGGAGTTTACATTGAGGTTCAGATCTTTTTTTTTTTTTTTTTTTTGGTCTATAAATGTCCAATTGCTCTGACCACATTTGTTGAAAAACCTAACTTCCTCCATTGAATTGATTGTGTACCTTTGTAAAAAAAATCAGTTGAGTATATTTGCATTGGTCTATTTCTGAGTTCTGTGCTTTGTTCCA